TTTATACCAGCCTCCACCATTTCCTGTGTCAGTTCATTCCATACATACACCATCCTGCGTGTCAAAACATTGTACGCTACGTCCCTTTAAAATCTTTACCCTCAAACCTTAAACCTATAACCTAAGGTTTGTACTCCCCAACCCTGGGAAAAGACCCTATCACTACCCCTCATGATTTTATTAACTACTATAAGGTCACCCCTCAGCCTCCAACACTCCAGTGTAAATAGCCCTAGTTTATTCAGCTTCTCCCTCCAGCTTAACTGCTCCAACCCTAGCAACTTCTTTGTAAACCTTTTCTGAATCTTTTCATCTTTCCTCGAGCAGAGAGAATAGAATTGAATGCAGTTTGCGAGGTTTCGTCTGTGTGTATTAACGTGGTTAATGGATAGAGAGAGGATGAACACATCCTCTTTATGTCACCAGTTTAAATTGTGAAAATATCGGTTTTAAAGCAGTGTAAGAGGAGATTGTCTCTTTCTGTGCGTTTTCACTGGAAATGTCCAGCTGTGAACTGTCCGTCTTTACAAAAACGGGCTTTGACTTAAATTCTCACTGAATAACATTGAGATAGAAAAAAAAAATCAAGTTTCTGTGATCGAGTGTTGAAGTACAGGAACATGTGGACGGGGCCTGGATCGCACCATGTGGTGCCGTGGCTTAATTGGTGAAAGCGCCTGTCTGGTAAACAGGAGATTCTGGCTTTGAGTCCCGGCGGTGCCTCTGGCTTAGATTGAGGGTATGTTGTCTAAATTTCTGGCAAATAGTGTTTGTTGCGTGATTCCTAAAGGTATAGCTGGCTTGCTTCTTGTGTTTATACTCAATGCATGATCATTCCACTGTTCCCATTCCAGTTGCCTGAGCTTAACCCAATTGGCAGTTTTGTGAACTGCAACAATTAATAATTGTCGGCTAATCAGAGAGAGAAATGTTGATAAATATGCCGATTTGACAGATAAAGCTGATAATTTCGCCTAACATTATATTATTGAAATGCATAAGTCACCCAGTTCCAAGGTTACCTCTCTTTCTCTCCACAGATGCTGCCAGGCCTGCTGAGTTTCTCGGTCAATTCCTGTTTCTGTTTCAGACTTTCAGCATCTGCAGTTCTTTGACTTCTGTTAACTTAAATAATTTCTGGGACAAAACAGTCTGTCTACCGGCTCCACATCTTCTTTCCTACTCCAGAGAATCAGTCATCACAATAAACTAGCAGAATAGAACTCCCATTCCCTGACCGAAAACGGAACTTAGCCTGCGGCGGTGAAAACGCCAAATCCTAACCATTAGACCACCAGAAAGGGTGCTTCAGACTCTCGTATCTTTTCTCAACAACACTGCTTCTGACTTTTGATTTGTTATCATTTTGGCTGTAGATCAGTTTCTCCCTTTCATCGAATCTTTGCAGCATGGAGAATAGATACTTCAGCCCATCGTGTCAGTTCCAGTCATCAAACCTCCATTTTCCTAATCCCAGTTTCCAGCATTTGGCCCAAAGCCTTTTGTGTTCTGACGTTTCAAGTGCTAATCTCAATGAGATAAACCCTGTAATGTCAAATGTCACAACGAATGGGGCTGAGGTGGTCAAACTGTGTTAAAGCCTCCCTGGGTGTCTCAACCTCATTTTCACCCAGAGAGGGAGACACACAGACACAATCCCGCGAGTGACTGAGGGCTCAGAATTATACCGCTCCGTGTGCTTCACGCCTACTCTCAATTCCCCCACAGAAGTTTTTCCAACAAAAGGCAGTTTTACCTGGAACACAAGTGATTTCTGCAGACAATGAGAACCGTTACCGTGAACTGGGATATGAAGTGGAAAATGACTTGCAAAAGTCCCACAAGCTGCTTAGGTGCAACATTTAATTTCTAAAACTCACCGACCCAATCACTGCAGCTCCTGGGAGTCTGGCAAAACATCTCCCGGGAATCTGACAAGACAGTTTCCGACAGACATTCCCCACTAGAACCAGTTGTCAATTTGCAAGATTAGAAAAGAAAGGAAGACGTTGTTGTCTGCACTCGAGCCAGATAATATACAAACTTAAAAACTTCTGACTCGAAGGCAGACGCATTTTCCATTACAGCACTGGGACAAATTACGCTGCTGTGTACCACAACTAGTCAAGTTGTGATGTTAACAGGGGGATAGACGGAAACAGGATTCACAAGCCAAACGACCAGCAAAGACAATCGTCGTCATTGTTTCTCTTCAATGGTCCCCATTTTGCAAAGTGGTGAATTTCACCGGCAAAGGAAACTCATTTCTCTGCAGGTGCCTGCTTCAGTGTGGCTTGGTTCTCTGCTGGAGCTTGCTATCATTTTATTCACAGCCACTGCACAATTTTATGACTCACTCCAGTGAAATGTACTTTCATACTTTGAGTCACGGTCTCTTCGAGACCTGACCCTGAACAAATTAAGTGAGAAACCTCTGGTCATTTCTAGGCAGTGTTCTGGAATCACACGAGTTGAACAACGCTTTTATTGGTGTCGCCCCTTTACCGCAGCTTGGCGTGCTAAAACAAGCTCCTGTTAGCATCAATACAGCGTGGAGCTGGAGGAACACAGCAGGCCAGGCAGCGTCAGAGGAGCAGGAAAATCGACGTTTCGGGTTTATTCCCTTCTGCGAAGCCTCTTCCAAGCGTGCCAAACATTAAGAACTTGTCCTCCTTTGCGAAACGTCGACTTCTCTGCTCCTTTGATGCTGCCTGACTTACCATGTTCCTCCAGCTGCACACTGCATTGACTCCGACAGGGAAGTGACGACCTAGTAGTATGATCACTGGACTGCTAATCCAGAGACCCAGATAATGTTCTGGGAACTTGTATTTGAATCCTGCCACAGCATATGGTGGAATTTGAATTTAATAACTATCTGGAATTAAGAATCTACTGATGACCATGAATCCATTGTCGATTGTGGGGAAAAAACCTACCTCGTTCACTCATGTCCTTTAGGGAAGGAAACTACCATCCTTACCTGGTATGGCCTACATGTGACTCCAGACCCACAGCAATGTGGTTGACTCATAACTGCCTTCTCTGGCAATTAGACATGGGTGATAAATGTTGGCCTAGCCAGCGTCGCCCTCATTCTGTGAACGAATAAAGGATCTGCAGTTCTTGCTATCTCCTGTTAACAGCAGCCCTTTTTGTACTTTTCTGCAATACATCTACTGAACAGCATCAGGTTATCACAGTTCCGCTTTCTCCACTTTGAAATCCATTTTCCCTGGCATTATAATATAAAAGGGCAGAACTGACCAAGTTCTGATGAACGTTCAGTGGATCTGTTCAGTGGTTAACGTTGTATCTCTCCACAGATGCTGCCAGGCCTGCTGGGTTTCTCTATCAATTCCTGTTTTTGATTCAGATTTCCAGCATCTGCAGTTCTTTTTTTCATGTTAACTTGAAAATCGTTTGGGACACACTAAGTTACCTCACAGCCCCTTTCCTTCTCCTCATAGAGGAGGCGATGCAATCCATTCAATTGATTGTCGGAAGAACT